CCAACAGGCAGCATGCCGGAGGTAAAAATGGCGACTGTCACCCGGAGACAAGGGAACAGCAACCAACGATCCCGTACAAGACGGGTTGGAACCGGGAAGACACATTCAACGGTCCCCTGAGCCCAGACAGGGGTTTCCAGGGCCCGTAGGGTAACAACTACGGGAAGCCCGGGCAAGGTGTTGCTAACCGGTGAAGAAACCCAAACATAACAAGAGGGTAGAGGATAGCACTGAAAACCCCTGCGATGTGTACAATCACGGGGGCCTAGCAGAGGGCCGCCAAACACTACCAGTGGAACTATAGCCACACTAGGCAGACCCCCACCAGGCATGAAAATAAAAACCAAAGAAAAACCCTGCAAAAGTACACCGTCTCCAGAGGCAACAAGAACCGGCCGTCGCTTAGGTGGCAGGCTGTGTAACACCTTGACGCCCTAACCAGCACAAGACCAATCCCTACCCAGGGCCAAACAAGGGCCCCAAGCCCCAGCTGGTCCCAAGGGCGAGGCAAATGCCGAGCAGCAAGAACCTCTACGGGAACGGTTCCCGAACGCCCCAGGGAAGATAACCCTGTTATGCAAGGGCAGTACTCACAGGGCTCTTAGGGAAGTCAGCCACTAAGCGCATGCAGCCCTGGCACTGATGAGGTACTCCTGGCCCCTGCACAACACAACACACGGCAGTGAACGCCACACAAGGCAAACACTGCCTAGGAAACTGAGGCCAGAGAAGCGTCTATCACAGTTGACATTAGCTTACGAACTGAAGCTTGGCAGCCGGCGCTCCCCCTTTCCCCTCTCGGGGCGGGGAGGGCTGCGCGGATGATCGGCGCGGCAGTAAAGTGTGATGTTTGCTTGTTTCCTTGTGATTGTAGGGAGTTTCTACCTCTCTGTTCGGTTTTTTGTTTCAGTTTTTTACCATGTGGGGATTGTTATGTTATGCCTAGCTTTCTGGGTGCCTGACCCCGGTCGATGACAGATAAGGAAAACCTCAACCACAAGAAGGTTTTCCAGGGCCATTGCTCCCTGAAACATCTCTGAAGGGGCCAGGTTCTGGCGCTGGTCCCTGGTTGGTCTGAACTCCTTAGCTAATGTCCTGGTCTAATATAACATACATTAGCCCGATAAGCTTCAGGGAGCCGTAGGGGCTCCCCACAGAAAAACACTTATTTTATTACCTGCTGTCACTTACAAACATACCTTATGACTACAGTACTAATAATTTTATCAATATTGTATTACAAATCTGGGTACTTGTCATAAAATTATTTACATACATTAACTGAAATAAGTACTGCTATGCAATAAGTAACAAGAGTAGCCATCAGAAATAAAAAAATTTGTTTTATATTGGTTATCCTCCCATTTGCTCAAGCAGAGCATCAGATCAAATTAATGCATAAAAGTATTTACATAATGTAATTTATAAACAATTTGATTGATAACGTGTATAATGCAATGAAACACCTCTTAATAGTTGTAGTTGTGTATTGATGGCTTCCTGAAGCTAGTACTGAGATAACTCCTCATATACAAGTCACACCAGCCTTAGGAATCCTGAATATGCTACTGGAGACCAGAGCCAGATCCTGGCCTCCTCACAGATGTGAAGGAAGCTGGTAATTATCATCACCCACACCAAGGAAACATTCAGAAAGTAAGCAAAGCAAAATAGACAACTGCACGGTTCACAGAGCAACAAGAAATGAAACAAATGACTCTACAAACGATTCAAGCATAAGTCTATTTGAACCCCATTTAGTTACAGGTGGGCATTGCCAGGTGGCAGACCACTGGGAGCTGCTGGCTCTCAACACACCTTGGTGCAGAGCTCAAGACAACAAACTAACACACCTGGATGGTGAAAAGGGACCGTGGAGACTCGGACTCAACCAGAAAGAGGTATTTCAATACATTCAATGCTAGTTTTCTGAAGAGGATGAATGGTGGCTCCCTGTAGCCAACTAAAGGTAATAAGGAAACTGGGACTCGCCAGTGAGGAGGCGAGCAAAAATTAAAGCCCCGAAGAACAGAGCCCAAGATGGGAAACCTGACCGAGAGCAATACAAGGCTGATGGTACTGTATATAAGAAAAGACTGGGGACAGAGCAAATAAACTTTCAATCAGCACGGGTCTATGGGAAGACGGCAGGCTGGCTAGATTTAATGACAGTAAGGATAACCTGAGATAAATGTCTTGGAGCAAAGAACCAAGGAAACAGCATCGGCAAACAACAAGTGATGTACCCTCTGCTGAACAAACTATGACTCAAGAACCCCTCCAGAAGCCATCCCTCTCATTCTTTGCCAAATGAGCAGGAAAAAGCTGCCAATGAAGAAACTGTTCAACAGGGCCAAGGAACAGAAACCCTTCTTCCAGAGAAAAGTATGAAGGCCACCAATCCAGCAGTAAAGAGCTCTTAAAATGGTATGATGGGCCAAAAAAATGACCGAGAGAATGAAAGAAAGACCAAATCTGATTCAGAGGAGGATCCATCCAGACCTATTGGATGAAAATATGGAAGGAATATCAAGACCAACATGCTGTTGCCACTACAAAAAACACAGGCAGTATACCAACAAATCAGCCACCCACACACCGTACAAACGGTGAGAGACCTGCATTAAAAACTTTAGAGCTGAAGATCGGAGGAGAACATTGAACAAGACAGGAATATCTCCAAACCAATCTGATAAAAGTATCGGAGCCTGAGTCAGATGAGCCAGTTGCCAAAAAGCCAGAAAGATCATTCTGCCCGTAAAAGCCCCCAACCTGGACACAACCTGGCCTAGCAGTTAAATCAGAGGGAAGAGATAAAAGAAATCCCATCTTGACCAGTCCAGCCAAAAGGCATCCAACATGAGAGCCTTGTGATTGAGGAGCAGAGCCATGTAAAAAAAGAAGCCGTCTGTTCCAAACTGAACAGTCGGCTTTCCACCACTTACTCTGCAATCACCTGGGTACAGCCAAAGCCATGCCAAATCTGTAAAAAAACAAAGGCTTGTGTTTCCTATTTTGCAGGCCTCAGGACAAAGACCCACCCAACAGGTAGCAGAGGAAGACGGTACAAACGTCCATCAGTTTGCAGTAAAACCAACACGACATCCCTCAAACTCGCAAGCAGCAAGCATGACATTCGTCGATTCATTGTGCATCAACTCCAGACTGACCAACAGCTGGCTGTTGCTGAGGAGCTCTAGGCCACCTGGAGGTGGTCATCAGTACTAACAGATTTGAGCTAGTTTCAAGTAAACCAATTGTTTTGAATGAATCGTTTGCAGAATCATTCGGCCGTTTTGATATGTAACGTAAGTTTAAGTGTACATATTTGGGTGATAAGACACAAAGAGTATTGTGGTTTTTTATATTTATTTAGTATAGTCTTGGTTACAACAGTCAGTTTCTTGGCAACGTTGTGAAGTGTCATAGTAGTTGAGATGAAGCCTGGGGCAGGGCAGAGGGCCGAGTGAGACTGGGGATAGAGAGCTCAGATGTTGGGGTGAGTGCGAAGAGCATGACACTCTGAATGCAGGTGGTGTCGAAGAGCTCGAATGCGGGATGAGAGTGTGGAAGTTTGATGCAGCCAGAATATGGCTGTCTATTCTGTAGGACAGCTGAAGCGTCTTGTGAGGATAGGAACTGGACTCGTCGAGTGTCACATTGTTGCTGGTGAATGTTGAAGACGTGCAGCATCTCTCAAGCGTCTGTACTGAATCACTATACGAGTTTAGAGTGACTGACTCACGCTGCCAACTGATTGATTAATTGATAAAGATTAAGCCACCCAAAAGGTGGCACGGGCATGAACAGCCCATATGTTTAGTAAATCTATTCAATATTCTGAGGTCGCATTTAATCATTAAGCTGCTATCACGGGGGAGGATACTGCTTGACAGTATTTATGAGGGTGTCCAGCTGCTGGACAAATTTTTTGGCCAGAAGAGTGGCTGTGTTGATAGCTTCAGGGAAGTTACTGCAATATTCAAGGACTCCTAAAGCTCTTCTATGGTCATTGGTTGCTTCACATTCCAGGAGATAGTGAAGTAGTGGCTTTTCTGTGACAGTTTGGCAGAAGATGCACTCTCTCTGTCGGGGTTCACCAATCTCCCAGTTGCATCTGTAACCTAGACGTAGTCTGTGTAAACGAACTGCTGTTGCACTGTGGATTCCTTTTGGGATATTTAACCTTTCTAACTTGGTGGCCTGAAGATACCATATTGCAGAGGGCGAACCTTCTGCTACTCTCTGATGTAGATGGGCTTTGTCGAGGTGTGAGTGTTTTTTTATTGATGATGTTTTTTATGTTCTCTATGCTGGGTTGAATTGTTTTATGTATCACTGGATGACGAGTTGCCAATTTGGCAATTTCATCGGCTTTCTCATTTAATGGGATTCTAACATGGGATGGGATCCAGTTTAAGGTTATGTTGAGGACCTGGTTGATGGGGTTCTGGGAGTTTTTCTACTCCCCAAGCCGGCCCGAGGCCAGGCTTGACTTGTGAGAGTTTGGTCCACCAGGCTGTTGCTTGCAGCGGCAACAGGCCCACATACCCACCGCAGCCCGGTTGGTCCGGCACTCTTTGGAGGAAACTATCTAGTTTCCTCTTGAAGATGTCCACTGTTGTTCCGGCAATATTTCTTATGCTCGCTGGGAGTATGTTGAATAATCGCGGACCTTTGATGTTTATACAGTTCTCTCCAATTGTACCTATGGCACCCCTGCTCTTCATTGGTTCTATTCTGCATTTTCTTCCATATCATTCACTCCAGTATGTTGTTATTTTACTGGGTAGATTTGGGACCTGGCCCTCCAGTATTTTCCATGTGTATATTATTTGATATCTCTCCCGTCGTCTTTCTAACGAGTACATTCGGAGAGCTTTAAGATGATCCCAATAATTTAATGTTTTATCTCGTTTATGTTCTCTGTACTCCCTCTATTTAAGCAATCTCTCCTGCTCTGAATGGGAAGTGAGTACGGAGTAGTACTCAAGACGGGACAGCACAAGTGATCTGAAGAGTACCTGTACAACCACTGTGATGGGATCCCTGGATATGAAAGTTCTCATAATCCATCCTATCATTTTCCTGGCTGCTGCAAAATTTACTTGGTTATGCTCCCTAAAATTTAGGTCGTCAGATATATTGTCAGTATTTTGCCTTTAGCGACTGCTCCATGATACAAAATGATGGTAATTATTTCCACGTTGTCTTTCCAACGCTGCCAACGTGCTGTCAAAACTTATATTACAAGCTTCCACCTCACCTTGCCAAACTGACCAGCATCTTGCAGGTTGGGAAGAGGTATTAATTATAATTATTTGTACACTTGGGAATTGTAATTAGTGGACCAAGAATTAGTGTAGAGATTCTAGGAATGTAGAACACCTAAGAGATAGGTTATGTAGAATTAGCAGACCCATCACAATATCTGCACTTCAGCTAATGAGAATATGCAGCAGGTATATTACTTACTAATATAGTTGTTACAGATACTTCATTTTCTATGAACTTTGCAGTTGTCTGTAATGCTTTGCTGACTTTCTAGATGTTTTCCCAGTGAGGGTGATAATTGCCTGTGCCTCTGTGAGGGGGGGCCAGGCACTGGCTCTGGTCCCGGGAGGCCAAACACAACTCAGGTGACTGATATGATCCAGTAGTGGGAAGCTATCAGTGAGATAACTTGGTGGCTTCATGAAGCCACCAAGGGGCTCCCCCAGAAAAAATGATAAACTTTGCTTAAAAACTGATTCCTACTCAAGTTGTCATTCTCCAAAGAAAGGATCTACGCAAGAATCGAGACCGAGAAGTTACCGTTAACAATTCCTGGCTTGCCTTGTGGCAACATCCTTCATCATTTGTTCTATAATTAAGATAAAATATCTGTAGTACAGCAGGTACATAACCGTGATCATATTTATCTTAAAATATTAGTAAGTACTATAGACAAAGAACACTAACGAATTTATAATTTTGATAAAATAAAACAACAAAGTAAAATAATAGATTAGGAACAAAAACAGTGTAGTTCTGACTAGAGGTATTGGATTACAAAGGAATTGACTAAATTGTGCACAAAATATTAGCCCATTACCATTACAACTGCACAAAACTTCTGAAAGGAAGCACGTACAAATCTTAATTTCACTCTTTGTAGAACGTCCACATGTATACTATACTTTACCTTTATTCCTTATAGCCAGTGGCAATTAATTGTATAATATTCATTTTGTACATTTGTACAGCTTAATTTGCTTCTGTACCTGTATGCCCAGATTGAAACAAATGCATTATTTATTATGTCAACTCTCACTATAAGATGATTTGGTAATATCATCCGAGACCTCTTTTTAACATAACAGGATGCATTAAATCCTATTAGAAAGATACAGTATGTCCAAAGTAAGTGTACAGTAGTTTCAACAGTGATTAATGTAATAAAAGAGAGACAGTACCTGAATAAAGTTAATTTTATCTTATTTTTATATTCACATGATATTTCAGAGACTTTCTTGATCCAATGTCACAACCTCTACTTCATTATCTCTGCGTCGAGTCGTCTTCAAGCAAGATGATCGTTCTGAACACTCTTCAGTCTTTACTGTAACCCCAGTTACTTGGTGTGTGCGTATTAACAAGTCCTCCATGTCTGGTGTACAATCACTGTCACTTACCAAATCAATAACTTTTGGAGATGTAGTAGATAAAGAAGATTTTAAAGGTGGTATCTTGCGATTTAACTCACTGGAATCACCGGAGACATTATCACTTGGGGAGACAAGATGAGTGCGTTCTTCATTATTAGGACAAATCTCCCTATCTTGAGCTGAAGGAACAAACGGTGGTCCACATATGACAGTAGGGCGGGTAGCTGCAGGATTAGTGTGATGAGTAGATTCACTACATAATAGATGGTCTGCAGGCAATTCATCAACTAACATTACATCCAGATCAGATGGTTCTCCAGAGCTGCCACTAAGAACAACAGTCACATTAGTTTCATCAGAGACCTGGGATTCACTTGCTTGATCAGAAGGCGAGGACACTGTTATGAGAGGAAGACTACGGTCTGTTTCAGGACTAGGAAATAAATCCGGTGACACTATACCTTCACGATCTGGCTCTGGGAGAGGCAGTGAAGATGAACGAGGACCAAAAGTAGACTTAGATTCTACTTTCAAACGTTTATCTCCGTCCTCATGAACTGGTGTAGAGAAATACTTGTGCTTGTACCACATCTTACGACTGCGCTTAATAGCACTCTCTCCTGCCACGCCTGCAGAAGAGGCGGGTCTCTCGTCCTTCAAATCAATCATCACAGAACTTTCCCTAGTATCATCTGAAAATACACTTGCTAGATCAATGCTATCCTGACTTTCATTTGTTTTGATGAAGCTAATTATAGAATGATTATCACCTTCTTCATCAACATCAACAGACATTTGTTGCGAGTTAAAACCAGGCCTATAAACATCACTTGCCCTATTACTTGTTCCAGTACTTGACATTTTACTCGTCACAGGGGGAGACACCTTCACTATCACATTTCGTATTGCACTATCATTTGGAGTAGTTCCTATATTTGCAGCATCAAATCTGTAAGAAAGATTGACTTTGGAAGTACTGGTCATTCGTGCACTAGACTGATGGTCTTCCTGACTAGAATTTGGAGTATCAGAATATTTACATGAGGAAGATGAAGTGGGTGATGGAGTGTAAGGATCTACCCACTCTAAACTTGTTCCTGGAGATCCCTGAGCCCCAAGACTCCCTGAGGTCCCTGCACCACAGCTGGTTGCTGCATCTCCTTCAGCTGCATCACATCTAGCCTCACCTTCTAAGCTGAGTGAACCTTTCATGTTCCCTCGGGGAGTAGGAAGAACAAGGGTCATGTTACTATCACTGTGCCGGCGTCGTTTACTTGGAGACGTGAGGTAACCATCAAACATGGCTGCCTCTAATGTACTGCTATTGCTTTCATTACTTTGTAATTGTCGTTTGAATGAGCCCATGCTGCGTCGTTGAGTACCACCATATTCTATGCTGTAATGGTCTCCGGAACGATTCAAGGCCTCGTGAAGAAGTTTTAGAACCTGTAATTGAGACAATTCATTATAAGCCAAGAAGGAAAGATAGATAAAAAACATATGGGGTGGAACTAATTGTTCTCAGGTCAAGTGTAGTATTCATTTAATTAGGAGTGGTCACAACCTGTTAATGGGAACGTTCTTTGATGCTACAAGAGTGGCACTTTGTTGCTACAAGAGTGGCAGTGTGTTGCTACAAGAGTGGCAGTGTGTTGCTACAAGAGTGGCAGTGTTTTGCTACAAGAGTGGCAGTGTGTTGCTACAAGAGTGGCAGTGTGTTGCTACAAGAGTGGCAGTGTGTTGCTACAAGAGTGGCAGTTTGTTGCTACAAGAGTGGCAGTGTGTTGCTACAAGAGTGGCAGTGTGTTGCTACAAGAGTGGCAGTTTGTTGCTACAAGAGTGGCAGTGTGTTGCTACAAGAGTGGCAGTGTGTTGCTACAAGAGTGGCAGTTTGTTGCTACAAGAGTGGCAGTGTGTTGCTACAAGAGTGGCAGTGTGTTGCTACAAGAGTGGCAGTGTGTTGCTACAAGAGTGGCAGTGTGTTGCTACAAGAGTGGCAGTGTGTTGCTACAAGAGTGGCAGTGTGTTGCTACAAGAGTGGCAGTGTGTTGCTACAAGAGTGGCAGTGTGTTGCTACAAGAGTGGCAGTGTGTTGCTACAAGAGTGGCAGTGTGTTGCTACAAGAGTGGCAGTGTGTTGCTACAAGAGTGGCAGTGTGTTGCTACAAGAGTGGCAGTGTGTTGCTACAAGAGTAAGCGAGGTAATAATTAACACCCCACAAGAAGTTGACATACTAGCACAGCAGGTTTGGAGTCAGGATGCTAAACTGATAATCATCAATGCCTACAGTTCACTAATAAGCGACACATGGACAAAGGAGCAGCTGCATTACAAATGAGAGGAGCAGAGGAGTGTCAGACGTAATGGTGGAAACGAAAGATCTCCAACCCTCACGCTTAACCATACAGATGGTCCTACTGACCACCGCACTCGCCTTTCGAAACAAAATAAAAAGTCGGGCATGCGACGGCGTTCCTTCCATGCTGCACGCTTATAGCGGACAGCCCAAGCACAGTCTGCATTCCACCAGGGAACGCATTTCTGCGCACCCCGGGAGGTAGAGCAAGGAGCAGAACAGAGGGAAGCATCAAAAACAGTGTGATGAAAGAGGAGGAGGAGGGCTCGGGGGAGAGGCAGATCAGAGAGGTTGGAAAGAGTAGTGTGTAAGGTGAAGAGGTTCTTTCAGCCTTGGCAAACTGCCACTTAGAGAAGGAGAGAGAAGGCCAAAAAGAGAGGTGACAAGGATAGGGAAATAGTTACTGTTATATAGGTCATCACGCTCAAGCCAGTGAGTTCCAAATTAAAAAGAAGATGAGCAGAGAGAAAGATAAAGACAGGAGGGTGCGAGAGTGGGAGTCAACATGAGTTTGTTCACCAGAATTCAGAAGAGACAGAGGAGAAGAAGAGAGGACAAATGGTTGAAGGCAGCGGCCCCGGGTGTTCATCAGAACATCTCCCCAGAGGGTGTGCCAACAGTTAAAATTACCCCAAAAGGAGCACAGGCTCTGGTAAGGAGTCCAACAGGTGGACGAAAGAAATATCATGACAGATCAAGAAAGCCATAGAGGCATAGGCCCCAGCAAGAGCTGGAGGCGAAGAAAGAAAGACATAACCACAGAAGCGACCAGGACGAGTGCCAAGCATCGGTTCCTGGAGACAAACACAAAGCGGTGAAGACTGCGCTATCAGAAGTTAGAGTTCATGGAAGCTGGCATAAAAACAACAAATATTCCATTGAAGAACAGACAAAAAAGAGAGAACAGAAACAGAGGGAGAAACAAAGGCTAAGAAGAACATAGTAGACTAATGAAGATCAGGACCAGGATCAGTGAAATCAGGGTGACGGGGCATAGGCAAAGCTAGCCAAGACAATGTAGGCCAGGAAATGGGAGGACGAACCAGAGGCAGTGTGGTTCAGGGGCACCTGAACATGACATGCGTACCCCCTGTATCGGGGGCGGAGCTAACGTCATACCGACTGAACGCTTGCTCGACCATTGGTGTTCAAACTTGCATTAAGGTTGGTATACTGTAATTTCTTGTTTGGTATACTGGTATATCTTCTTGGTATATTGTATTGTTCATTGTTAAACATATTGCTTAGTGTTATAAGCAATACTTGCTTGTTGTTCAACTACTTAACAATTTCTATATACGGTGCTTAACTGTATGGCTTGTAAACAGTATAGCTTGTTTTATTTGCAGGTTACTACGCTGCAATTATACGATCAATAAAGCTTCAAGTCAGGTGAGGCTTTTGTTTGATCGTATAATTCTGCCAGTGGACATGGAGCGGTTCCTACGGCCCGAGCGGTTTGCTACTGACCCAAACTCCTCCAACGCTGCTCAAGAATGGCGTCACTGGCACAAGATGTTCCAAAACTTCTCTCTAGCAGTACAACAAACGATGCCCTCCGTGGACAAGCTCGATCTTTTAATAAACTACGTTGCTCCACGCCTGTTCAACTACATAGCTGACTGTACTACGTATGATGCGGCTGAAAAGTCTCTAACAGAACTGTTTGTGAAGCCCAAGAATGAAGTATTCGCAAGGTATGTGCTCGCTACATGATGCCAAGAACCCGGTGAGTCGCTTGACCAGCTTCTGCAGGCATTGAAATTATTAGCAAAAGACTGTCAGTTGAGTTCAAAGCCGTGACTGCTGCTGAAGCTTGTGATAACTATGTGCGAGATGCATTCATTAACTCGCTGGAATCCGGCACAATAAGGCAGTGCTTACTTGAAAATACAACTTTAGACTTGCAGTTAGCTTGTGACCAGGCTCGCACTCTAGAAACGGCACAGAAACTTTCTGCCTTGTATGTTCAGCCGGGGCTTCGAACGTCGCTGTGGCACACTCATCAGACCTGGAGGACTCTGGTGGACATGAAATTGTAGACGAAACAGTTGAGCCATTCTCTGCAGCTACTACTAGTGGTTTAAGATGTTTCTTTTGTGGTTACACTCGACATCCTCGCAGTCGATGTCCGGCTAAAGAAGCTCTGTGTATGAATTGCAAGAAAAAGGGTCATTATGCTAAGGTCTGACGGTCTCAGAAACAGACTAACAGTGCTTCCAACACTCAACACTCAGCTCCTATGCTTGATACTTTAGCTGGGACTTCACCCTTGTGCCTCCATAAATCAGTGGTGTTTCAGTCAGTGCACTGATTGACACTGGTAGCTCTGAGAAGTTTATTCATAAGAATACCTGTATTGCCGAGCAGAGTGGGTTGCTCGGCTATCCTGACAATGGGGCAGTTTCTATGACTACTGTATCGTTCTCTTCAAAATTCCTGGGACAGTGTTCTGTAGACTTAGAACTGCAAGGAGAAATTTACCATGATGTGAATTTTAAAGTATTACCCGATTTGTGTGCTGATGTGATTTTGGGCCATAAATTTTTACGAAATCATTCTATACTAGAGATGGCTTTTGGAGGAGAAAGACCTTCCCTTAGAGTATGTGGTCTAGCTGCCGTTAAAGTACCTGCTCCTTCCCTCTTCAATTATTTAGCACCCAACTGCAAACCGATTGCTGTAAAATCAAGGCGCTATTCTGAGACTGACAAGAAGAATATTGAATCTGAGACTGGTCGGATGCTACGTGAAGAGATAATTAGACCCAGTAATTCTCCATGGAGAGCCCAAGTATTAGTTATTAAAGGAAAACATCACAAGAAAAGAATGGTTGTAGACGATTCACAAACAATCAACCGATTCACGGAGTTGGATGCCAGCCCCTTGCCTCAGATAGATGAGATTGTGAATAACGTTGCTAGATTTAAAGTATACAGCATCCTAGACCTGAGAAGTGCTTACCATCAGGTAGAATTAAAAGAGGAAGAAAAACCCTATACAGCCTTCGAAGTTTGTGGAAGGCTTTTTTAATTCAATCGTATTCTCTTTGGGGTCACTAATGGGGTGGCCAGTTTTCAAAGAGTAATTGATGGCATCCTTGAGAAAGAAGGAGTGAAGGGGACCTTTGCTTATGTAGACGATGTCTGTGTGTGTGTGTGTGTGTGTGTGTGTGTGGAGACTCAGAAGAAGACCATCATACTAATCTGAAACATTTTATGGATGTTGCGCGATGATACAACCTGACCCTGATTCTTGAAAAGTGTAGTTTTCGACTCCGGTCTATAAAGCCGTTGGGATACCTTATACTAGCAGGAGAAATTAGACCTGACCCGGAGCGTCTAAAGCCGCTATTAAAACTTCCACTACCGAGCACCACAGGTTCTTTAGGCAGAACCATGGGCAAGCTTGCGCATTACTCCCGGTGGGTGCCGGGGTTTTCTGAGAAGATTCGTCCTCTCTTTCATGCCCATGGTTTCCCTTACCTGCTGCCACTGCAAAAGCTTTTAAAGGACTAAAACAAGACATTGCTGAGGCAGTGGTTCGATCCTTCAACCCAACGGCTCCCTTTGCTGTGGAAACAGATGCTTCAGATCATGCCATTGCCGCTACCTTAACCCAGAATGGACAACCGGTAGCATTCTTTTCCCGAACGCTTTCAAATATTGTACAGAGGCACTCATCTGTAGAGAAGGAAGCTTATGCCATTGTTGAAACTCTAAGGAAATGGTGACACTATCTCAATGGACGCCATTTCCGACTTGTGACTGACCGTTGCTTTTATGTTTAACTCTAAATCAGCCGGTAAGATTAAAAATGATAAAATAACTAGATGGCGTGTCGAACTCTCCTGTTACCATTTTGACATTGTATATTGCCCCGGTAAAAGAAACATACCCACTGATGTGCTTTCACGCACATGAGGTGCCGCCAGTATGGATGAACTTAAGGAATTGTAAAACAATCTGTGTCACCCTAGAATGTCTTGTATGTCTCATTTTGTCTGGTGTCACAATCTGCCTTATTCTGTAGAAGAAGTGAAGAAGATGACTAATTCTTGCTCTACATGCTCTGAACTTAAACCTCAGTTCTGCAAGTTTAACTCCGGGCATTTGATAAAAGCTACTCAGCCTTTTGAAAGATTCAACTTCCCAGGTTCCCCTTTGCATTTCCTTGTTCGGACATGACTACTGGAAGTCATTTGGTGCCTGGTGCAGTTGTTAGCAATCTTTGGCATGACTGCTTATATAAACCTGCTTGATACCTGCTTGATGGGGTTCTGGGAGTTCTTCTACTCCCCAAGACACTACACTCTGAACTGATGTCGCCATACACTCTGATCGGGGAACCTCCTTTATGTCTGACGAGTTGAAGGATTTTCAACTCAAAAAGGGGAATAGCAACTAGCCATACAACTCCTTACAACCCAAGAGGTTGTAATGGCTGAATGTACAATGGCCAGGCTGAAAGGTACAATGGGATTATTTGGAAGATGGTGCTGTTAGCTCTGCGAACAAGCAACTTAGACGTGTCCCAATGGGAGGTGGTACTTCCAGAAGCGCTCCATTCCATTAGATCTCTCTTATGCACCTCCACAAATTCCACACAGCATGAACGTTTCTTCCTACATACTAGGAGATCTGCCTAGGGGAGGACACTACCTATGTGGCTCGAGTGCAAAGGCCCCTTCCTTCTCAAATGACCAGTGCGGCTCGGCAAACATGATCCCATAGTTGACGAGGTGGACGTCAAGCCAGAGTGCACCCACATCAGGTTCCTAGATACCTGCTTGATGGGGTTCTGGGAGTTCTTCTACTCCCCAAGCCCAGCCTGAGGCCAGGCTTGACTTGTGAGTGTTTGGTCCACCAGGCTGTTGCTTGAGCGGCCCGCAGGCCCACATACCTCCCACAGCCCGGTTGGTCTGGAACTTCTTATAGAAAACAGTCTAGTTTTATCTTGAAGATGTCCACGGTTGTTCCGGCAATATTTCTTATGCTCGCTGGGAGGATGTTGAACAACCGCGGACCTCTGATGTTTATACAGTGTTCTATGATTGTGAATATGGCACCTCAGCTCTTCACTGGTTCTATTCTGCATTTTCTTCCATATTGTTCACATCAGATGGCCGGGTGACTACCATATTTTTACGTCACCTCATGCCCGGGGCCACTGAATGTGGCGAGAATCAGGTTTCCGATCTCCCCGTTCAACCCCAACCACCCCCAAGTGTGGAGGCTGGGGTAAACCCCGACCCGTTTCATCTGGGTTCACCTCCTCCTGAACTACCTCATCACAAAGTTCCTACCCTAGAAGCATCAAATAGAGAACTAATCTGACGTAGCGCTCCCTCGCAAATGCAGTATGCAGGAATGGCCTGGAACACTTGATCCTCCAACTGTGCAGGACCCCTTGTGACGATTTGGAAGGATGCGCCGAACCCCTACGCATCTTTGGGACTATAGTACTTAAATGCTAGATGGGGTGAATGTGGTAAAATGTCATAGATGCGTAGCCCCTGTATCGGGGGCGGAACTAATGTCATACCGACTGAACGCTCCCTCGACTATTGGTGTTCTGATCGTCGGGTCAGCCGGGTCGAGCTTGCGTTAAGGTTGGTATATTGTAATTTCTTGTTTAATTTTTATTGTTTATGGTCAATGACAATAATGTTCATTGTTAAACATATTGCTTAGTGTTATAAGCAATACTGTACTTGCTTGTTGTTCAACTACTTAACAACTACTATATACGGCGCTTAACCGTATGGATTATAAACCGCATGGCTTGTTTTATTTGCAGATTACTACGCTGCAATTATATGATCAATAAAGCCTCAAGTTGGGCGATGCCTTTATTTCACCACAGGCAGACTGACAGAGTCCAGAGCGGGAGGAGGCATCGGAGAGGGGTGGACAAGGAAATCGGTGGCAGGAAAGACAGACACGGGAGAGGGGCACCCGATCAAAGGCAGTATACAAAAGAGGATCAAAGACCAAGGGAACCTCCATAGCAGAGACAGGTGACTCTGCCACTGAAAGGGGAGGGGAAGCAGAGATAGTGTCGGATTCGGAAGGTGGAAAATACATAGAAGCCTTCTTACCCGCCGGGGAGGAAAGAGGAAAGGAGCCAGGCTTACGTTTCTGATGTAGAGAGACAGATGTACCATTAGCAATGTACTGGGCGACAGCCTCGACAATTTCAACAGAAGGAGAAAAGGAACGGTCAACACAAAGAATGCTGGGAGGAGGATGGACAATGGCCCAAACAGACAGGAGGGCCAAGAGACAGAGGAGAGGGCTGAGAAGGAGTGGGGCGAGAAAGGAAAGAGGGCAAAGGAGACAAGGGGAACAGGGAAGGAAGGCAGGAAACACCAGATAGAGAACCAGGAGGACGACCCTCTGGCCCAGAACACAAAGGAGCAGACGTGTGGGGGTGGTGTTGGGGTCAAGGCCTCGAAGCGGTTGCGAAACTGAAAAAGCGGGAGAGGGTAATAAAAAGGGGAATGCAACACATGAGCATAAGACATGCCAGAGAAAGAGGGGAGATGGCAAACCTGGCATCTTGTCCCAGGAAAAGACAAATGATCAAGATGTTTCAAATTGAGAATGACTTCCTCAAATTTGTAGTGCACACATGTGTAGAAGGCAGGGTGGGCATCACCACAATTGATGCAGAGAGCATGGGAAGAAGGGCACTCCGTCTTGGAATAACCTGAGGTTCCACACAAGGGGCAGACACACACATTAGCTGTGCACCAGAAGGGACCATGGTCAAATCTCCAGCACCTGCTGCAAAAGCAAGGAGAGGGGATGTACTCCTGAACAGAGCACTGACACCAGCAAGAATGATGGAAGGGACCTACTATCAAACTTGACCTTCACAACGTGAAGAGGCTGACAATGACCACCATGAAGCAGGTGCTACAGAGCCCAGCCTTCAAGCACAGTCCGACTCGGGGGCCTGGTCGCCTACCCCACGAGCTTGAGAAGTTAAATGAGGGTCAGAAAAAGCCATAAAAATGGACAGACAAAAATTCATCCACGAATAAGCCCCAATACCCATCATGGAGCAACAATTAGAGGATAGGACACCCGACAAGATGGGGCCTCCCCAGGGGTGCATTGTGGATATATGCCCCGCAATCGCCACCTTAAGAACTGTCAGTCCGGCGAGATCGGGTTTAGCAACGAAGGCGAGGATTGACAGTACAAGCGTCCCCCTCGCTCAACAGCGTCGGGTACCACAGTTTTACGGGCGAGAGAATGTGCCTCCTCAAACACCTGGGGTCAAAACACAAGAAGACAGCGGAAAGAATAATCAAGAATGGCAAAACGTCGGCGGGAAATAGCAATCAGAAAGGAGAAGGGAGAGGAAAAATGAAACAAAGAAGAGGAAAAGGCATCCAACACAATTCGTGAAGACGACAGCAGGAGCACAAGGTTCCAAAAGGACAGAGGACTGTTCCATGGAGCATCACACTCTGCCAGTCATCCACCAAGGCCCCTCATGATGGCAATGGGCTGGAAAGTGAGGGAGTGGTCCCGAGTAAGCCAAACAGAACTTCCACAACAGAGTTAACCCTGTAGTGTAGAGCAATCTCGGGAAGATAGCTTCAGGGAGCTACTAGGGCTCCCTCCAGAAAATGAGGATTTGGATAATGGGGTTCCACTGTAGTCCCAAAATATGGCAGTTATTAATTTTTTCCCTATAAATTTCAGCGTTAAACTACCTGAAAACTAGGAGTCAACAAGACTTTTACCAAATGTTAGATATCCTAGTTATAATCATTCTAAATCATTTTATATTCATTTTAAACAATATTTGAATATGTATAGTACCTAATATTTTAAAGCATAAAATTGCTATAATTGTCTTACCTCTTCTCTAGAAGAATTCATGGGAATAACGTTTGGATAAACCTTTCGAGGTCGAAGGTAGGAAACCAAGTCAAGAACTTCTAAACAGGATGCGTGCATAGATAAAAGCACTCTGCAGAAACTCCCATCTCGACTAATTTGTTTTAATTCCTGCAAAAAAAAAAAAAAAAAAAAATAATGAAGCACTGAATATAATAAAAACACTTTTTCTGTTGAGGCTTTCAGAAGCTCCTCAATGCTAAATGCTGGTCAAGACATTCCACTAACCCAGTTGTTTCTCAATTTTTTAAGGATGCGGACATAATCATATAAAAGGAACACCAAGAAATCTGGTGCGAGCACTATTTACCCAGGGTTACCAAGCTGTGTATATGTAGCTTGGTTCATTGGACAAAGGTCAAAGATACATGATAGTGGATCCCTACTACTGGCTTCAATTAACCCTTGTATGGCGCCCGGCTATTTAGCATGTGTCACCCACAGGCTTATACAAAAAAAAAAAAAAAAAAAAAAATCTAAACCTGTTAATTTGTGTTCACTGATCATGGGAAAAATAATAATAAAAATTCTAAGTGGCATATATTGCCTGCTATAGTCTGGCAAAGTCTGGCAAAAAACCAGCGTTGAATGTAATGAAACCCCATTTTCTGGGTGAGCCCCGGAGGCTCCCTGGAGCTTATCGGGCTAATGTATGTTATATTAGACCGGGACATTAGCTAAGGAGTTCACACCTACCAGGGACCAGCGGCAGAGCCTGGCCCCTTCAGAGAGGTTCCAGGGAGCAATGGCCCTGGAAAACCCCCCTTGTGGTTGGGGTTTTCCTTATCTGCCATCAACCGGAGTTAGGCACCCAGAAAGGTAGGCATAACAAAACAAACCCCACATGGTAAAAACCAAACAAAAAACCAAACAGAGAGGTAGAAACTCCCTACAATCACAAGCAAACAAGCAAACATCACACTTTACTGCTGCGCCAATCGTCCGCGCAGCCCTCCCCGCCCCGAGAGGGGGAGGGGGGAGCCCCGGACCTACCGTGCCGGCTGCCAAGCTTCAGTTCAGAAGCTAAGCTTCAACCAACGCGAAAAAAACGCCGACCGGTGGGAGGGAGGTTTGCCAGGGAGCCTCTGGGGCTCACCCAGAAAATGGCGTTTCATTACATTCAACGCTGGTTTTCTCTGGGGAGCCCCTGCGGCTCCCTGCAGCTTCATACCCAAAGAGAAGGAAAAGAAACGGCTAACCCGGGAGGTGGCCACCACAAACTCCGCAACGCGAAGCCGAGACAAAAGGCTGCAACCTGCAACCCAAGGCAACAAGAACGCACAGGAGCAGAAGCGCATAAAGAATGGCCGGTCAAGAACCTGTGCGACCCTCAAATTCCTGCACCCAAAATGAGCCCTAGACATCACCAATACAGCAGCAAAAGCTGCAAACGTAAAAACAGCACGGGCGCAAGGACAGACCGCAGGCTGGAAGACTGAAAAACTTTGCGGACGACCTGGGAGACCCGAGCCCTGAAAACAGGGAACGAGGGGAACCGGAACAACCCAAAGCGCATTCCCAGACATGGTACGCAGGTAACAGCAAAAAGCGCAACCGGACAACACAGGACGCACCCCCGGCCAAACCAAACAAGCATAAAAAATCCAAGAACCCCTCCGGAAAGCAGCCGTCTCGACCATCGCCAGGACGGAGAAAGGCTGCAAACGTACAAACCTGCCACCAGTACCAAAGAGCAGAAACCTGAACCAAAGGGGCTACCACAAACTGAGGAGAAGATAAGAAGGCACCCTGATCAAGGACCAGGATGGCTCAGGCGACGCATGAGCAGGCCAGAGGTGAAACAAAACACGAGAAAGCGTTCGAAACAGGGTGGATGTGACGTCCACCCCGAACGTAAGCCGGGGCGGCTCCGCCAGCGCCGCACAAAACGAGGCGACAGTAGGAAACATCAAATAACTGTACTCCTGAAAACCCAAGAAAGGACAAGACAACCCAATGCGAAGGAGAAGACAACCTACGAAGAGCAAGAAAAAGTGCATAGAAACACCAGGAACGTCATACTGTCGCCGAGACGAAGCTCGCAGGTGGGACACCGTCAACAAAGCCACCTGATCACCACAGAGATGGTGATACCCGCGTCAAAAAACCAGACACAAAGAGCCGAGGAGAAGGCCGAACCAGTCACGTACAGGACCGATCCGACCTGCCGAAAGAGGCAGAGCCACGGGAAAATGCCCCGGGTTCGGACACCTATCAAGCAGCGTCTGAAAATAAAACTGGGCCGGCCACCAAGGAACCATAAGGACTACTCTCGTGGGAATGGGCTCCAACCGAGCCAGAACCCGAAGCAACAGCTGGACAGGAAGAAGAGGAACAGGTACCCCCACCTCGACCAGTCCTGCCGAAAGGCATCCACCGTGAACGCCTCGCAGGCGGGAAAGGGCGCCACATAAAATGGGCGACGCCTAGACCACGCCGACTCGAAGACGTCCACGGCCAGGAGTCCATACGTCTGACAGAGCCAACGAAACAAGTTGGCGACGACTGGCCAATCCGCGAACAGAGGAATGAACTGAGACAGCTGTCTGCCAGGACGCAGGACACACCCCGGACATGAACCTCACGGTTAGCCAAACCCCGAGAATCCAGCAAATGAGCCACTCTAAGGAACCAACCCTAAAGGTCAACACCTAAGAGAAACCCTGTGGTTCCGGCACGAACCGCCAAAGAACAGTCTGAATGGAGCTGAATGGTAGAGCACCGAGTGACCCAAACCCTCCGAAGCGCAAACCAGACAGCCACGAACTCCCGAACCGTGCTGTGAGCCCGACGAACGGACAGACTCCACCATCCCCAGCCGACCTGGTGAGCACTGGTCACAAAGCCCCAGCCGAGAGATGACCCGTCCGTGAACACATCGAGTGAAGGCGTGGTGAGGTGCCAAGGCACGGAACCCCGAAAACCCCAAAGAAGAAGCTGGTGAAGCAGCACCAACACAAGATCCCCGGAGGAACGAACCCAATGATTGCAAGAGAGGCGGAAGGAGAGTCTCCGAAGGAACCAAACAGACGCCGAAGCCAAACCCGACCCCGCGGGCAGACCAGCACGTCGAAGTTCAGACTCCAGCACAACTGCTTGAGCAACCACTGAGCAACCTGGGACCCCCTCATGAACAGCCGAAGGTGGGACCACAGCCGCAGCTACACTTCTGGAGAAAAGACAAGGAGCGGCCCAAGAGCCCTTAACAAGGCCCAACCACGTCCGAACCCGGGACGGAAACAAATGGAACGGTCTCCAGATCACCAGGAAACCAAACCCGGTGATCTGGAAAGAACCACACCCCTGGTGAGCAGACAAGCAGACTGACTGGGAGCCCACACCAGCCAGTCATCGAGGTAGGCCAGACACCGAATCTCAAGCAGACTCAGACAGGGCACTAAGATCCGGTAAAAGATAAGATGAAAAAAAAAAAAAAAAAAAAAAAAAAAAAAAAAAAAAAAAAAAAAAAACCAGCGTTGAATGTAATGAAACGCCATTTTCTGGGTGAGCCCCGGAGGCTCCCTGGAGCTTATCGGGCTAATGTGTGTTATGTTAGACCGGGACATTAGCTAAGGAGTTCAGACCTACCAGGGACCAGCGCCAGAACCTGGCCCCTTCAGAGAGGTTTCAGGGAGCAATGGCCCTGGAAAACCCCATATGGTTGGGGGTTTTCCTTATCTGCCATCGACCGGGGTTAGGCACCCAGAAAGGTAGGCGTAACAAAACAAACCCCACATGGTAAGAAACTACAACAAAAACCGAACAGAGAGGTAGAAAACTCCCTACAATCCCAAGGAAACAAGCAAACAAGCAAACATCACACTTTACTGCCGCGCCGATCGTCCGCGCAGCCCTCCCCACCCCGGGAGGGGGAGGGGGGAGCCCCGGACCTACCGCGCCGGCTGCAAAGCTCCAGTTCGGAAGCTAAGCCTCAACCAACGCGAAAAAACCGCCGACCGGTGGGAGGGAGGGTTTCCAGGGAGCCTCCGGGGCTCACCCAGAAAATGGCGTTTCATTACATTCAACGCTGGTTTTCTGTGGGGAGCCCCTACGGCTCCCTGGAGCTTCATACCCAAAGAGAAGGAAAAGAAAGGGCTAACCCGGGAGGCGGCCGCCACAAACTCTGCAACGCAAAGCCAAGACAACCGGTCGCAAACCTGCGACCCAAGGCAACAAGAACGCCCAAGAACAGACGCACACATGGATGGGCGGCCAAAAACCTGTGCGACCCACAATTCCCTGCGCCCGAAATGAGCCCGAGACGTCACCAACACAGCAGCAATTGCTGTAAACGTCTGAACAGCACGGGCGCAAAGACAGACCGCAGTAAGAAGGAAAACACTGCGGACGACCCGGGAGACCCGAGCCCTGAAAACAGGGAACGAAGGAACCGGATCAACCACAGCGCATCCCCAGGCACGGTACGCCGGCAACAGCAAAAAGCACAACTGGACAACACAGGACGCACCCCCCGGCCAAACCAAACAAGTACCAATACCCCAAGAACCCCTCCGGAAAGCAGCCGTCTCGACCGTCGCCAGGACAGAGAAAGGCTGCACACCAATAAAGCTACCACCCGTACCAAAGAGGAGGAAACTGAAACCGAAGGGGCTACCACAAACTGAGGGGAAGAGAAGAAGGCACCCTGAACAAGGACCAGGATGGCTCAGGCGACTCATGAGCAGGCCGGAGGGGAAACAAAACGCGAGAAGACGTAATAAACGTCATACAGTCTCCAAGACGAAGCTCGCAGGTGGGACACCGTCAACAAAGCCACCTGAACACCATAGAGATGGCGATACCTGCGTCAAAATACCAGACGCGAAGAGCCAAAGAGAAGGCCGAACCAGTCACGGACAGGACCGATTCGGCCTGCTGAAAGAGGCGAAGCCTCAGGAAAAACGCCCCGGGTACGGACACCTATCAAGCAGCGTCTGAAAAGAAGGCCGGGCCGGCCACAGTGGAACCATAAGGACTGTTCTCGTGGGAATGGGCTGCAACTGAGCCAGAACCCGAAGCAACAGCTGGACCGGGAGAAGAGGTACAGGTACCCCCCACCTCGACCAGGCCTGCCGAAAGCCTCCACCGTGAAGTCCTCGCAGGTGGGAAGG